GTAGGAAACGGGGCACAACCCTATTGATGGTTCTTGGACGGCATCTTGTTGTCTTTTGGCCACGTCCAGAAGGTTTCTCGGTGCGTGAGGTCCTCAGATTCCACTGGGGCCTCCCAGGTGCCGTCTTCTTCAAGCCAGTTGGAATGTTTCTGTAGGATCCTACAGAATCCCAGTGGTGGTGGGACTGTTTTGTGTCAGTTTTATTTCTCAACCCTACTAGGCGTTGGTGTGACCCAAGCGATGAGGACGGAGGACAGGCAGAGAGCCAGAGGGGGCGTTCGGGCGTTGCGTCGCGGCGTGACACGTAGAGACGGAGCGGGACCGGCACGGGGCAAGGCAAGAGCCACATTCCAAGGTTCCCAGTACATCCCAAGTAAGGGCCAGGGCAGGGAGGATGCGGGGTGGGGATGGCGCAGAAGAAGACACGGGGCTGGGGCCAGCCCTCCTGGTGCCCATGGTTTATAGGAGAAGGAGTTCGTGGCCGGTTTTGTCTTTGGCAGCAGATGTATCTCAGCTTCTTCTAGGGGAAAAGCTGGTGGAGGTCTTTGTGGAGGTCTTGGGACTTCTGTTGGAGATACAGGGCACGGGGAGGGATCCCATGATCCCCCCAGGATGGTATGGAGGTGACGGGGCTGCCACCCTCACCTCCCCTCTGGAATTGTAGATGTTCTGGGGCTGTAGGAGAGGAACAAGCGTCCCATCCTGGAGGTTGCAGGACAAAGAGTAAGTTAAAGAGCAACAGGCTGCTTGGATGGTACATTTATTTATTATTTACATATGTAGCACTGTCTCTGGTTGCTGGGGGAGGAGAGGAGGCTGGAAACGTGCCCCCCGGTACCTCTGGTCCTGGTTGTGGTCCTCAGGCTGGGTTGGAGGTGGAACGGGGCTGTGTTGCCTTCCTGGCGCTCGGTGATGGTGGATGGATGTGAGGAGTCGACAGGACGAGAGGAAATGGCCTCAAGTTGCCCCAGGGGAGGTTCAGGCTGGATATTAGGAACAATTTTTTCACAGAAAGGGTTCTCAGGCATTGGAATGGGCTGCCCAGGGAGGTGGTTGAGGCCCCATCCCTGGAGGTGTTCAAAAGACGGGTTGATGTAGTGCTGGGAGGTCTGGTTTAGTGATGATGCTCCTTGTTTGTTGTGTGGGTGTCTATTTTTGTCAGTCAGGTTGACGGTTGGACAAGATGATCTTTGAGGTCCCTTCCAACCTAGAAGATTCTGTGATACCCAGAACTGGCTGGCTAAAATCAAAAATGTTTTTTTTCTGGAAGAGGCTCAGAGCAGAGAGGGTTTCTGGTTGGTACCACTCAACTCACCCCTTGTACCAGGGAGGATAGGTCTTGTCCCAAGCCAGGGAGCATGGAGGTGGGGATGGAGGGCTCCCAGCACCTGAGGTTGGGCGGTTCCTCCATGCTCAGCCCAGAAAGCAGCTGGGAAACCATCATGCAGGCAAGAGGGCTTGTCCCTCCTGGTCCCCTGTACTGGGGACACCGTTGGGCTTTGGGAAGGACTTACCTTTTGTGTGTGGGGGGGGTGTCACTCCAGGGGGGACAGCAGAGGGGTCCCCAACGTGTGAGGTTGTAGTAGGTCTTATCAGGGCCCGAACAGGGCTATTTGCTCAGGGTAATTAGTTGCTGGAGTTGGGGACACAATCTTTGGACCAGGTGTTTCATTTGCTCGTTGAGGAACGCAAAGGGAGGTTCTGGTCCCACCAAGGGGATGGCTGAAAGCGAGCAACCCTTTGATGGGTCCAGTATTGTCCCCCTGCTCACCCCAGATGTCCCCAGAAGCCCTCCCATCCTGGGATATACAGCCCAGGGACATCAGGCTTTGGATTTCTCTAGGGAAAAACGGGGACTTTGTAACCACACGATCTCCATCAGCATCACTTAGAAACGAGGGGAGCCCAGAGGCCATCAGTGGCCACCTCCTGGGTCACATGGAGGTGCGGGGGGAGGTCATGAAGTGTCCTGTCAGCCAGCCCCACAGCAGGGGTCCATGTTGAGCGTTGATGGGATAGAAGAGCATGGTGTCTCCTGGTAAGCAGGGGGTCCAGTTTTAAGGGTGAGTTTGTAGCTTGGCCATCTTTGAGCGTTGATGGAGATCCTTGGTGTTGCGTGCTCTCGGGTTGCGATGATAGGAGCAAACCATCTTCAGGAGGGTGTTGTCTGCAGAGGTGTTGCTTGTGCAGGGTTGGGTAGGTCTAGTTGTCGTAGCCAGCGTTGATGGAGAAGACGCTGGGGACATCTCCATCACTGAGAGGAGGCTCCCGATCCCGTTGCTCTTGCCAAACACGGGTGAGGGTTTGGCAAGGAGGTCCTTACCCCAGAGGGGCTCCATCAGCAGGTACGTGGTCATCAGTGGGGGGGACCTTGGACCCTTTGGAGGAGACACAACACCGTTTCCAAGGGAGGGGGGACACGGGGGACAGGGCAAGGGATGGGTCAAACAAGTCCAGGGAGCTCAAAGCATGGGGGGTAACCAAAAGAAGCTCCAATTTAAGGGATGGAGCTGCCCCCCAACCCCGGGTCCTTCTTGGGGTGTATGATGGGGGGGGTTTGTCCGGGAAGCAAAGCCCCGAAGGTACAAAGTTCGTCAAACTTTATTGATACACTGCACAATCACAACCATCTCTTATTCTTGCCGAATTAGAAAAGGTTACAACTACAATGTAACATGCACAAATCTCAGGTAGTATAAGCCACCCTCGGAATACAATGATCGACGGAAACTCAAGACCGGCCGTCGGCAGGAGAGACACCACCACCACCACCACCACCCCCTCCTCCACCCCGGGCCACCCCATCCCCCCCCAGGGCCACCAAACGTGGCCACCAAACGTGGCCACCACGGGGTCCATCTCCCGGCCTCAAGACAGCCAACACGTTCCTCACAATGGCACGTTACATGGCACGAGAAAGTCGGACGCCGTCCCGGAGGAGGGGGACAGGGGAGCCCACCCAGCCCTGGGAGGAGAAGGATGGGGGCAAGGGGGGCATCCTGGGGCACCGGGGCCACCGGTGTTGGGACATCTGGTGGTCACCTCCACTCTCCGTGATGCCATGGGGGGACCGGTTCAGCGTTTCTGCTGCGGGGATAGAGAAATCCAGGGGGGACATCCTGGGAATGGGCACAGGGACCCCATCCCCCCCCAGGGCCACCAAACGTGGCCACCAAACGTGGCCACCACGGGGTCCATCTCCCGGCCTCAAGACAGCCAACACGTTCCTCACAATGGCACGTTACATGGCACGAGAAAGTCGGACGCCGTCCCGGAGGAGGGGGACAGGGGAGCCCACCCAGCCCTGGGAGGAGAAGGATGGGGGCAAGGGGGGCATCCTGGGGCACCGGGGCCACCGGTGTTGGGACATCTGGTGGTCACCTCCACTCTCCGTGATGCCATGGGGGGACCGGTTCAGCGTTTCTGCTGCGGGGATAGAGAAATCCAGGGGGGACATCCTGGGAATGGGCACAGGGGGGATTTTTGGGAGGTGGGATGGGGGGGACGGACGGTGCAAATGGCCGGAGGCGTCGGGGCGAGGTGTCTCCCCGGGCACATGGGGAAGGACACACGTGGAGATGTCCCGGCTGAAGATGGCGGCGTCCCCCGCTCCGTGAAGTTGACCGGGATCGTCGCCGGCACCAGCTTTCCAGGATGCTGGAGGAGAAGAGGAGCAGCACCAGAGGGACCACGCCAGGACCAGCCCATCAGGTAAGCCAGCGCGTCGGGATGGCACCAGAGAGACAACCCCCACCCCTGGCTTGGGCCACGTGGGTGTTGGCCAGTTGTTGGTTGTTGTACATGTTGAGCATCCAGGGAGGCCATGGAGATTGTGTTACGGCACCGGAGAGACACTGGAGAGGCTCAGGCCACGTGGGTTTTGGCCAGTTGTTGGTTGTTGTACATGTTGAGCATCCAGGGAGGCCATGGAGATTGTGTTATGGCACCGGAGAGACACCCCCCCACCCCTGGCTTGGGCCACATGGGTTTTGGCCAGTTGGTTGTTGTACATGTTGACCATCCAGGGAGTCCATGGAGATTGCGTTACGGCACCGGAGAGACACCTCCCACCCCTGGCTTGGGCCACGTGGGTGTTGGCCAGTTGGTTGTTGTACATGTTGAGCATCCAGGGAGTCCATGGAGAATGTGTTGCTGTTGTCTTTTTTGGGGGGGTGGTTGAGTGCAGGTCCTGGGAAGCCCCCCGAGAGCAGGGACATGGTGGAATAGAGGACAAGGTGGTGGCCTGTTGCAGCCTTGGGGTTGGGGGAAGGTTGTTTTCTATCATTTGTGCCAGGAGGATCACGGGCCCAGGTTCATCGCAGCCGGGGAAAGCGGGAGAGGAGGGGGCAGGAAACAGCGTGTGCGTGGCCATGGTTCTTCTTCAACCATCTTGGTTCTGGAGGGAGAAGGGAAGGGGCAGGACACGGGGTAGGGGATGCGTCGTGTGCTTGCTCAGCGCGTGGCTGTGGTTGTGTCCTTGGTGCATGTAGAAGGTCTGGCCTTGCAGGTGACATTTTTTTCAGGAGCAGGATGGGAAGGTCCATCCCTGGACCGAGACCCCCAAAGGGGACATGGGGCAGGGCTCGGGGACACCACCACGTACCCGGCGAGGGAAGCCGGAAAGGGGGTGGTCTCCCAAGGTGGCTTGAGGAAGGAGAAGGTTGAGTTTGAGTGTAGGAGCATTTGTTGCGGTGTTGAAGGTCCGTTGTGGCAGGGAGGATGGGACAAGGAGCCACCTTCAGCGCCGATGGAGCCCAGAGCCAGGTCCAAGGTGTCGGACTCTCCTCCGATGGGCAGGGTGGGAGAAAAGGCAAAGCGTGGACATTGCAGGTCAAGGGTGGGCTCTTGAACTTCTGCCGTCCTGAGATGAGCAGCTCAATGGGAGGGGAAGCGAGGAGATGCCCAGTGGCCAAGGAAGAGCCCTGGAGGTGGGAAGGGTGCCCTCCCGTCCCCTCCGGACGCGTGGAGATGGGAAGGGGGAGCTTGTGACTTGACTTGGTGCTTTGCTTCGTGGTTTGGCGTCTCTGCTTTTGTGTTGTGCTGTGCTTTTGACGTGCCGGTGGGAAAGCACTTGAGAAACAAGCCAGGAGGAACCTACCAGAGGGGCAGGTCCCAGCATTCGGGGAGGGGGACAGCAGCAGAGTGAAGGATGGGTGATGGCCAGGAGAGCCATCAACCCCCCAGAGGGCCACCTCCAGGGCTCACATTCCTGGGAGAGCCACCATGTGAGGAAGGCAAGATGACTTTTTGGGGAGGTGGGGGTAGGATGGGAGATAGGAGATGGAGAGGCAGGAGGTGGCGTGGCCCTTGATGGATGAGTTGAGTTGTGTCGGGCAATCAACCCCCTCGGAAAGGGCCAGCAGCAGCGGGGGCCACCCCGTGGGGCCGAGCCGACACGATGTGGGGGGCGCTTTGGTGGCAAGAACTGAACATTCAGGGCTGAAGGCCGAGCCAGGGAGGGGGAAGGCCTCAACCCGGTGGCCTTTTGGGGTGGCTTTAGCGAGACGATGAGACGGACGGACATCCCCGCGGTGGGCTCCGCTCCCCCCCGTGCACGGCCGGGCCGCTCGGCGTCCCCAGGGGTGACGGCGGCGTCGGGCGAGGGTCCGGCGGGGAGGGGGATGGAGGGGGGGGTCTGTACAGCGTAACCGGCGGCGAGAAGGATGCTGGCACGCAGGAGAAAGGGGGAGGGCGGCCATCCTGGGACGCCGGGCGCCGCCGCCGCCTGTCCTCCGGTGCAGGGCCCGTCCGACCGAGAGAAGTCCCCCGGGGCGGCGCGGCACCGCAGCGGGACGAGCCCCCCGCGGCGAGGGGGGGAAAAAAGAGAGAGAGAGAGGGGCGGTGGGGGCCTCCCGGGACCCTCCCGCTCCCTTATCAAAAGTGGAGGAGGAGGAGGAGGCCAGCCAGGAGGGAGGCCCAGAGGCAGAGGCCTGCGGCCGCCCGGGAGGCCGCGTTGCCGCCGTCGTGCACCGCTCCGGGCCCTGCGGAGAAGAGAAGAGGAAAAGGAGAGGATAGCGTTAGGTGGGACTCCAGGATGGGATGCCCCGACCCTCCCCGTGGTTCCTCAGCCCCATAGCTTTCCCCATGTTGGACATCTCCAGGGTCCTGGGACACTGGGGAGTCTCCTTCCCCTTCCCTTTCTCCTTCTTCAGGGGAGAGGTGGGTTAACACGGTGTTTGGAGAGCGTTGTGGTAGGGAGGAGGTTGTTTATTGGTGAGACGCTTCTTGTTGGAGGAAGAGGAGGAGGAGGAGGAGGAGGATGTCCATGGCAGGCAGCCATCTGGCCTCGCCAGGCTCAGAGCTTGGATCCCAAGGGGATCCAGCCCAGCAGGTCCCACCAGAGCCGTACTCGGGTCCCCACGGGTAGGAGCAGCCGTGCTGCATCTCTGCCAGGATGGAAGGTACCCGAGATGGCAGCAGGGTGAAGACAGGGGACTTGGTTTTGACTGGAGTAGAGCGTCGTGGTGCAGGGAGGCAGGTGGTGGTGGGGAAGGTGACGAGGGCAAGCAAGGAAGGGGATGCCAGGACTCCCCAGGAGAGCAGAGCATCCATTTTGAGTTGATATGGCCCTTTTGCCCCTGAAGTTAAGGAGCTGAAGGGTGGGTAGCGACAGCTGAAGATGGCCGGGAAGACAGGCAAGTGCGTTGGGCGATGGTGAGCGTGCCAGGATAGCACCTACGGGCACTATCCTGTCCTGTGCCTTGAGGTATTTAGATCCGAGGATGTCCATGGCAGGCAGCCATCTGGCCTGGCCAGGCTCAGAGCTTGGATCCCAGGGGGATCCAGCCCAGCAGGTCCCACCAGAGCCATACTCAGGTCCCCACGGGCAGGAGCAGCCCCCAGGCGGGGTTTGAATGTCTCCAGAGAAGGAGACTCCACCTCTGCCACCCTCACAGCAAAGAAGTTCCTCCTCATGCTTAGGTGGAACTTCAAGTTTGTGCCCATTTCCTCTTGTCCTGTCCCTGGGCACCACTGAAAAAAGCCTGGCCCCATCCTCCTGACACCCACCCTTGAAGTATTGATAGGTGTTGATCAGGTCCCCCCTCAGCCTTCTCTTCTCCAGACTAAAGAGACCCAAGTCCCTCATAAGGGAGATGCTCCAGGCTCCTCATCATCCAGGCCCTGTCCTTCTGGAACTGGGGAGCCCAGAACTGGACCCAGTGCTTCAGATGGGGGTCTCACTAGGGCAGAGTAGAGGGTCCCAGACAGCGGGAGGCAGTTGCCAAGGTGGTGACCTTCCATGCCTTTTTTTTTTGCAGGTCAGCCCTTGGGATGAGAAGGTCCAGCCTCAGAGGAGAGCTTTGCCAAGGGCCACCACCAGCCCAACCAGCGGTGAGAGGGTTCCAGCACTGTGTGCCTAAGTGAGGGGTCGGGGGGAGCAGGGAGGACGAGCAGAGCAGGGCACGGGCAGCCAGAAGATTGGACGTGCCATGGACAGGTCATGAGGCCATCAGGAAGGCCTCTTGGGATTTGGGATGCTGGGAGGGCAACGCACAGCCTGTGTGGACAGAGAAGGCTCATGTGTGTTTATTTGTGTCTTGCAGGCATTTAGGTCACCCAGAAGGAAGCAGAGCAGCGAGGAGGATCATCAAGGACGTCCAGGACACAGGAGACTGCCATCACAGCAAGAAGGCCACGTGTTTTTGGCCAATATTTCTAGGGCGACGGAGAGATGCAGCAGAGATGTTCTACTGAGAAATATCAATGAGCAACACAGGGGGAGAGACACGGTGGTGGGAGAGGGGGAGTGTGCATGGAGGTGGTGGGTCACAGTGTGGTGACAGGGTGGCACAAACACAACTGAAGGATCAAAAAGATCCCAACGGCCACCAGAGAGCCGCCATGGAGAGTCAGCGGTGGGACAGACGTGAAGGAAGAACGGCTCTCCAACGTGGAGTCCATTGGGTGATGGGCCATGGAGCAGGTGGTTTCAGGCCAGCAGGTCAAGGAAGGCACCTGTGAAGGAGGAGGTGAGCATGTAACTGTCAGTGTGTGTGTCTCCCTTCCTCCCCTCCTCCCTTCCTTCCTCCTTCCATCCATCCCTCTATCCTTCTTCCTTCCTCCCTTCCCTCACTCCTCCCTGCTTCCCTTCTCCCCCCATTCCTCCCTTCCATCCCTCCCTCCTTTCTTCCCTTCCTCTTCCCTCCTACCTCCCTCCTTTCTAACATCCCTCATTCCTTTCTTCCTTTCCCATTCCCCCGTTCCTCCCATCCCGCATTCCTCCCTCCATCCTTTCTACCTTTCCCCATCCCTCGTTCCTTCTATGCCTCCTTTTTTCCTTTCCCCTTCCCTCATTCCTTCCTCCCCTCTATCCCTCCCTTCTATCTCTCCTTTCCCTTGTTCCTTCTATTCCTTTTTTCCTTTCCCCTTCCCTCCTTCCTTCCTCCCCTCTATCCCTCCCTTCTATCTCTCCTTTCCCTTGTTCCTTCTATTCCTTTTTTCCTTTCCCCTTCCCTCCTTCCTTCCTCCCCTCTATCCCTCCCTTCTATCTCTCCTTTCCCTTGTTCCTTCTATTCCTTTTTTCCTTTCCCCTTCCCTCCTTCCATTCTTCCTTTTTTCCTTTCCCATGTTCCTTCTATTCCTCCTTTTTTCCTTTCCCTCTATCCCTCCCTTCTCTCTCTCCTTTCTTCCCCCATCCCTCGTTCCTTCTATCCCTCCTTTTCTCCTTTCCCCTTCCCTCCTTCGATTCCTCCTTTTTTCCTTTCTCATTCCCTCTATCCCTCCCTTCTCTCTCTCCTTTCCTCCTTTTATCCTTTCCCCTTCCCTTGTTCCTTCCTCCCCTTTATCCCTCCCTTCTCTCTATCTCTCCTTCCTTCCTTTCCCTCATTCCTTCTATCCCTCCCTTCTCTCTCTCTTTTCTTCCCCCATCCCTCGTTCCTTCTATCCCTCCTTTCCCCTTCCCTCGTTCCTTCCTCCCCTTTATCCCTCCCTTCTCTCTCTCTCCTTTCTTCCTTTCCCTCGTTCCTTCTATCCCTCTTTTCTTCCTTTCCCCTTCCCTCCTTCCATTCCTCCTTTTTTCCTTTCCCTCGTTCCTTCTATCCCTCCTTTTTTCCTTTTCTTTCCCTCGTTCCTTCCTCCCTCCCTTCTCTCTATCTCTCCTTCCTTTCCCTCGTTCCTTCTATCCCTCCTTTTTTCCTTTTCTTTCCCTCGTTCCTTCCTCCCTCCCTTCTCTCTATCTCTCCTTCCTTTCCCTCGTTCCTTCTATCCCTCCTTTTTTCCTTTTCTTTCCCTCGTTCCTTCCTCCCTCCCTTCTCTCTATCTCTCCTTCCTTTCCCTCGTTCCTTCTATCCCTCCTTTTTTCCTTTTCTTTCCCTCGTTCCTTCCTCCCTCCCTTCTCTCTATCTCTCCTTCCTTTCCCTCGTTCCTTCTATCCCTCCTTTTTTCCTTTTCTTTCCCTCGTTCCTTCCTCCCTCCCTTCTCTCTATCTCTCCTTCCTTTCCCTCGTTCCTTCTATCCCTCCTTTTTTCCTTTTCTTTCCCTCGTTCCTTCCTCCCTCCCTTCTCTCTATCTCTCCTTCCTTTCCCTCGTTCCTTCTATCCCTCCTTTTTTCCTTTTCTTTCCCTCGTTCCTTCCTCCCTCCCTTCTCTCTATCTCTCCTTCCTTTCCCTCGTTCCTTCTATCCCTCCTTTTTTCCTTTTCTTTCCCTCGTTCCTTCCTCCCTCCCTTCTCTCTATCTCTCCTTCCTTTCCCTCGTTCCTTCTATCCCTCCTTTTTTCCTTTTCTTTCCCTCGTTCCTTCCTCCCTCCCTTCTCTCTATCTCTCCTTCCTTTCCCTCGTTCCTTCTATCCCTCCTTTTTTCCTTTTCTTTCCCTCGTTCCTTCCTCCCTCCCTTCTCTCTATCTCTCCTTCCTTTCCCTCGTTCCTTCTATCCCTCCTTTTTTCCTTTTCTTTCCCTCGTTCCTTCCTCCCTCCCTTCTCTCTATCTCTCCTTCCTTTCCCTCGTTCCTTCTATCCCTCCTTTTTTCCTTTTCTTTCCCTCGTTCCTTCCTCCCTCCCTTCTCTCTATCTCTCCTTCCTTTCCCTCGTTCCTTCTATCCCTCCTTTTTTCCTTTTCTTTCCCTCGTTCCTTCCTCCCTCCCTTCTCTCTATCTCTCCTTCCTTTCCCTCGTTCCTTCTATCCCTCCTTTTTTCCTTTTCTTTCCCTCGTTCCTTCCTCCCTCCCTTCTCTCTATCTCTCCTTCCTTTCCCTCGTTCCTTCTATCCCTCCTTTTTTCCTTTTCTTTCCCTCGTTCCTTCCTCCCTCCCTTCTCTCTATCTCTCCTTCCTTTCCCTCGTTCCTTCTATCCCTCCTTTTTTCCTTTTCTTTCCCTCGTTCCTTCCTCCCTCCCTTCTCTCTATCTCTCCTTCCTTTCCCTCGTTCCTTCTATCCCTCCTTTTTTCCTTTTCTTTCCCTCGTTCCTTCCTCCCTCCCTTCTCTCTATCTCTCCTTCCTTTCCCTCGTTCCTTCTATCCCTCCTTTTTTCCTTTTCTTTCCCTCGTTCCTTCCTCCCTCCCTTCTCTCTATCTCTCCTTTCTTCCATTCCCCAGAATGAGGGAACGGAAGAAAGGAGGGATAGAGAGAAGGGAGGGATAAAGGGGAGGAAGGAACGAGGGAAGGGGAAAGGAAGAAAGGAGGGATAGAAGGAACGAGGGAAAGGAAGGAGGGAGAGAGAGAAGGGAGGGATAAAGGGGAGGAAGGAACGAGGGAAGGGGAAAGGAAGAAAGGAGGGATAGAAGGAACGAGGGAAAGGAAGGAGGGAGAGAGAGAAGGGAGGGATAAAGGGGAGGAAGGAACGAGGGAAGGGGAAAGGAAGAAAGGAGGGATAGAAGGAACGAGGGAAAGGAAGGAGGGAGAGAGAGAAGGGAGGGATAAAGGGGAGGAAGGAACGAGGGAAGGGGAAAGGAAGAAAGGAGGGATAGAAGGAACGAGGGAAAGGAAGGAGGGAGAGAGAGAAGGGAGGGATAAAGGGGAGGAAGGAACGAGGGAAGGGGAAAGGAAGAA